ACGATGGTGCGATTGACTTTGGAGGAATGCACCTGCCAAGCGTTGTTTGTGGTTGAAAACACACAAAAAAAGGCAGGGGTGGATGTAACTAGGGTAGGCCTAACTACTAGTTACAATCTGATGCAACTGATAACGAACGATAAGCCGCGACGCAGTATTACAGTCTGATGCAACTGATAGCAGGTGGCTTATTAAATCGGACTGATAACAATCTCAAAGCCAACGCGTGCTATTTTGGGAAACGGTACGAGGGGATTCAGACGGCCTGTCAACTTTGAGTGATAGGATGCAGATGTTTTATTAATCGGGCTGTACGTTAGAACTGCGCAACTAGTAGTCGGAGACATCGATTACAAATATCGATTACGGATGAATACAAGTACGAATACGAGTACGAATACAAGGGATAAATAGGAGGGGACGGCGGAGCTCGCTCTCTCTTTCGATCGCTCGCTTTAGATCAGTCAGTCTGTGTGACAGTTGGTTATAGAACGGGTTAGCCGTCTTGGGTTAAGAAGGACGATAGACATGTGGATTCAGTTATATGAAGCCTAGTGAGGACTGTTAGGGGTCAGTTGATTCAGACTATTATTGTGAAGCATTCCTGTTGATTCATTGTGTTATTTTGAAGCATTTCTTGATTCATGTAATAAAAGGATCAATAGCGAACCTGCATCTTCGAGTATTTCTACTGTAGTCGATGTTGTGTAGAATGAGTGGTTAAACTCGTTACATTTGGCACTACAGGCAAATAATCTCGTAACATGTGGCGTTGCGAGCAGGGTAACTGTTCGCTCGTTACATATATATATATATATATATATATATATATATATATATATATATATATATATATATATATATATATATATATATCCTAATCAGCATACTATTCAAGATATTAATGGATTATTTATTATAACTTATAGGAACATTCGACACCGATATTTACAAAACTGCTAATTCTAAAAAGCTGCCAATTGTATTCATGAGCGGTAAATTGGATACAGACATCTAACCTTCTTCTTCTTCTCTTCTTCTTAGTTCTTAATTTTAGTGTTGGAAGGGATACCCTCCAACACAATTAAGTTTACGTGTCAACTGGTTATGCGTCATTGAGACCATTGACTCCGATTTCAGCCTGCTTTTCTTTTCTTTTTTAAGTCGTCTCTCCTAGAAGAGTTGCTGTCCCCAGCTAACAAGCATAATCTGCCCTAGGGTTTAAACTCGAGACATTTCGGTTAAGCATCCACGAGCTTTACCGATTCAACCATGCTGATCCCAGACATCTAACCAATATGTACTCATTTTTAGCATGATTATTTGTTGCCCCCACCCACTACCATCAAACACACACACTAACAAAATACAGAGAGGCGAGATCCATCCGCTAATGTTGGTGGGGGAAGTAAAGCCTGGTGAGAGCCTACGGATGAATTAGCGACCAACATGTAGTGTTTCAAACCAACATCTTCGTGAGACTGATTTTGTCCACAGTTTGCCATTTAGTTGGAGTTCACTACGTCGAGGCCTGCCTGGCTATTCGTGTCACGATAGTTATTGAACTGTCATTCAATAATTTATATTGGGCACGAGAAAGCTGGAAATGCAGACTAACATTGAACAAATATAAATATCCATGAGAATATTATGTCGTTATAGAGCAGACGATAAAGACTTTTGGCACGTGTTTGCTTGCAGATGCAAAAAGAAAAAAGATAATTTTAAACCACTCTATGTAGGAAATTATTAATAACATAGAGATGTTAAACTAGTAGAGTTTCCCTTTCAAACCTGACGGTCTATGGGGCAAGTGAAGTAGAGTTCACTTGTTTCTGTGACCTCGGCATATGAAGAGATAGTGTGGTCAGCACTACGCCCAGCCGCCTTTACTTTCCCTAACGTGAGTTAGGTGCCTATCAGAGTTGGACGGTCTACGAGGTTAAACTAGGACCAACTAAAACAGTAAGCACGGCATAAGCGTAAAAAAAAAAAAAACCCACACCTCCATCCTCTTAGGTGTCATCCATTTATGAGGTCAACAAAAAGTTGGATTTCCACAGGCGTCCATTTAAAGAACGTCATCCCTGGCCTGTAAACCCGATATTAACGTTCACTAAAAGTAAAGGCCCATAAATGTTTTTAAAAGTTTAAATCATAGAGTGTTCACACCCGATTCATGTCATTTATGTGTCAGAATTCGACCGCTGTTTGTAACTCTAAAGTTAACCCAATTTATTGTCATAAGCAAACGCTGTCCGCGCTGGTATTTATACTAAAGTGTGTGCTCGAGTTTGATATTTTGATCACACATTGAAATAAACTTGTGATTAAATATTAAAACATTGGCTTTTATAGTAAAAAAAAGTTTTAAAAATCACTTTAAATGGAAATTTACTATGACTATGATTGAAAAGGGAAATTAGGGGGCCCCTAAAAATCGGGGGCCCCTGGCTGCAGCCCCCTCAGCACCCCCCTTAATCCGCCACTGATCATAAACATTGCTATGCATGGATCAGCATCACACGAGAGGAGGCAGAACGAAGTCTACAGGACTATTAAAACATTAGATCAGCTAACTGATCAGTTAAAACAGGATGGGTTTATAATTAGTAGAAGTGGGCTGTGCCTTCGACTGTTGCCAAGACGTACTTCTTCTCATCAAGGGCAACGACATGTATCGACAGTCCCAGTAAAACTGATAAGAGCGAAAAAAAAAAAGGGTTGCCATGCAAATCACATTGATCGCTTGCTTACAGCGGCAACACTGCATCACCTAGAAGAGTTAGCTTCCATGCATGGACCGAATGAGGTATGCTTTATAAGTCAAGATGACAAGGCCCGCGTTCCGCTTGGGTTGACAGCAGCTAAAAAACAGAGTCCATTGCTCAGGCACATAGAATACAGGGTGAGCTTGCCTGACCATGACTGGGTTGTGGCTGCTGAACATAAGCTGATCTCTTCAGTTTATGCCGGGATAAAAATTCAGCCCAACACCTTGGGAAATCGAGAAGCTGTTGGATACTCCGACCCAACATATATATCAATCAGATCTGGTAAACATTCCTTATCCACAGCCCTTAGTCATGGACTTGATTTTGAAAAATTACTTACTTTACATGAATTTGATGATATCACAAAGAGTGGTGTGGATCAAATTGTTAAACCAATATTAGTGTTGACGGTTGATGGTGGCCCAGACGAAAATCCTAGGTATCAAAATGTGATCAAAGTTGCGGTACACCACTTTCTCAATCAGAACTATGATGGTTTGTTCATTGCTACCAATGCACCAGGAAGAAGTGCATTTAATAGGGTTGAAAGAAAAATGGCGCCACTTAGCAATGAGCTCACAGGATTAGTTTTACCCCATGACCGGGTGGGCCGGCCAAAGAAAACATGGAAGAGAACGGTTGAGGAAGAGGCAAAAACATCTGGGCTCTCATGGGCACAGATTAGAGGAGCAGCCCAAAACCGAGTCCGCTGGATATGTGTGGTTGCAGCCCTTTGCTCCCCAGGGGCCATAAAGGAGTGATGATGATGATGATGATGAAATGTTGCTCAAAGCCAAGAAGCTCGTATTTCTTCCTCCACCTTTACCAGTCGCCCAAACAATGAAGGAACATTTTAATTCTCCATGGGAGAATGATTTAGCTTAAATATCACAACTTTTAATCGAGGATTGCCATATTAATACTGTTGTAAGTATTTTTTTTTTAAATACTTCTATTAATGATCTTGCTAAGATTTAGAAATATGAATGTATATAGTCTAGATATGGTCGGTTAAGTATAACTTGCTACTGATATTATTATTTAATCGTTATTAATAAAATTTCTATAAAATGTGCTTAGATTTAAGTCAGTGTGAGAGTATTTCTTGTCCTATTTCAACAACCTCTTCGCTAACAGCAAAGAACGCAATTTAATAATCTAGTGGAGAGTCTTTGCTATTAAAAATCAGTGACATTTATATTGCTTTGTGAGACATCCGTTAAGTCCATCATATAGGCTACAATGAAATATACTAGGAAAATTAAAGGTCTGGGCATAGTGCTAACATTTAAATAATTTGCATATTATACTCAATATATTGTTATTCTCACGTGTGTCGTCATGTCTGCAAGAAATACCTACATTTACATTAAGTATTACAAAAAATTAATCCTTTCAGCTTGAACATTACCTCACTGTATTATTTTTTACCTGCTGGTGCCACGAATGGGTCCACGAATGGGTCCAGCACGCTCATTATTTACCCATATTATCCCAAGGTCTCAAATTTTAATAAGTTTTTGATAATGATATGGTTCAGCTCTAGGGCACTGAATGAAGGAATGGCTATAGATTTTTTTTTAAATCAATACTTTTTTAAATATCGATTTTTTTAAAAACTTTTTTTACGGATAAAAGGAAACAACCCAGTTAATAATATAACCTTGGTTCATTTTTCTGATTATTAAAAAAAAATATTTAACAAGGCCCTCAGCGGCCCGTGTGAGCCTTTGGGGGCCGAAACTAAAATTTGTGTTCGCAGCCAACTCGCACCCTACCAGGTCGCCGGTGGACACGCCTGATTCAATTTAGTAAGCGACTGTAGCGCCCCATCTTATCCATTGTCTATCATACTGTTTAGAACGAACGTAGTCGCCAAATCGCATCCTGCCGGGGTGCCAGTGCAAAATTAAATCCCCCCTCTCCCCCCCCCCCCCCCCCCAGAAACATTCTCGAGAGTATTCATCAACTCCCTAAACTTTCATGGCGATCGGATGAATGGTGACAAACCAAACCATAATCGACTTATATTTTTATATACCGTATGTAGAGAAAAAAGAAATCGTGCCCTACCGGGGCGCCAGCCCTGCGAATTTGAAAAAGGTCACCACAGTCATGCAAGTGGTCTGCCCTGCCTAAAAGATAATAAGTTAAAATATTGTTACTGCCGTCATTATTTCAGGACTTTCGCAAAAGAACACGCAGTTTTTTTGTACATTGATAATTTCCTCGGTGTTTAGACTGCCCTAATATGACTTTAAAATACAGGTTTATTGAAAGTTCAGAGTGTAAATTGTAAAGGATGGTAAATAAACCGATGTGATTATATTAATGATAATAATTAAAGGTAAAACCTTAGTTTAGCGTCGGAAATTATTGGGTAATGTTTGTTGAGTTTCGGTAAGCCATGGTTTATTTGACAATTTGACCATTGAAATATAAAGTTAAAGTCGATTGTAGTAGTGAGTAGTAGAGTCTAGACTCTAGACTAGACTCACTCTAGAGTAGTAGATTTAGTAGTGTATGCATGCTGTAGGTAGTAGGTAGGGCTAAGTCAGCCGCTAAGACCTAAGTGAAGTACTAGATCTAGTCTAGTAAAGTAGATCTAGTAAGTAGAATCTAATACTTGTAACACATTTACACTGTCAGCCACGCAACAACAATAGAAAAAGACATGTCTATCACCCCCCATCCCTCCCCTCAATGACGTAGTAACTGAGAAATCGGGTTTCTTCTGCGATCCAGCGAAAAACGTCATACCACAGTCACAGTGTAGAACGAACCCTGTTAAACTTAAACAATGTTTAGTAGCAGAAATATTTATCTGAAACACTTTAAAATAACTAGCCTTTAAAAAATGATTAGAAAAGCAGTATTTAACACGCAATTAAAATAAATCTAACCAAATTTTAAATGTTCTGTATTAAAAAATAAAAGATGATGCCAAATAAAGTATGGTTTTCAGTACTTCTGGTGGATTCTGGAACTGTATGACAGACTTTGCCATTGTTTTCCTGTTTTTTACTGCTATACCATTCCGGAATAATAACCGACGCTAAGCTAAGGTTTTACCTAATTAAACATACATAATAACATATGGCATGGACCATAGTTGTTTTTTTTAAATTTAGAGTATGACATGTGTTTCATACCACTGTCCAATAAATTATGATGCTGATGGGAGACGGTACCCGATACTGATTACTGAATATTGAATATAGATCTTTCTGTGTCGTGTTGTTAATGTAGAAAAATGTTAGTTAACTAATGGAGGCTAGTGAGTTGACGAGAATCCTTCCATCATGTTGTTGACAAGACTATTGCACTCTCTAAATTTAAAACAAACATTGGTTATAGTGCTCATGGGGGAGTCAAACTGGGCCCTGCCTGGGCGCCGGAGGATGCACCTCATTTGATATAGTCAATAATTATTGTAGCCCGAGTGACCTTAGTGTTTAGCCTTTTTTAAAACAAATGTTGTGCATCAGTGCTCACAGGGGAGCCCAGGATGCCAGCGGATGCATCTGGTTCTACCGTTGAACCAAGTAGTACCCCTGACCCCTATGCAGTATGCAGTGCTAAGATAGCCACTTGGGCACCAAACAACATCTGACTTTTATTTTTATCTATTGTATTACAGAGAAAAATTGCATCCTGTAGGTGCGCCGCCCTCCGAAGTTTCATTTCAATCAGATGGAAGGTTTATTATTTGCATAGAAGACACAAACACACATACTTTTATTTATATATGTACTAGCATGCCTGTCCCAGTGCATTGCCGCGGGGTCTGACAAAATATATTAGAAAGTTTTCATCAATGCGTTACCAATCCTTTATTCTTAGACGTGTGACCTTGTTTTCTAAAACTGAGTTATTTAAATGTAAACAATGTCTGCACCTGGACCATATTTATCGGGGCATGGGTGTGTACCTACACTACCGCCCAGCACGCCATTGTAATTGTAGTGTGCTGTAAGAAAGCCTTGAGTGTATGTTAATCACTCTCCGTAATAGTGAGGTGACAAGGTGTCAGGGGCTTAGAGGGGCCCCTGGCTCTGTTTAATCGTCGAATGCCACTATGTCAATATTGTAGGGTGCTCCTTAAAACTGTGGTAGACGCCATAGTGCTCACATCATAGCCCGGAGTGCCAAATCACTTATATAAATATATAATGATCCAATCAAACTGGTCATTTATTGAATGGGTAAAGGATGAACTTTTAATTTAGATCCTGATGTTGTGCTGTGTTGAAGGTATTAATTATAGGACGCTTGAGTAAGAGGAAGTCTTCATTTATCAAGCCAAAATTTAATATTCTATTAACCCATTACCCAACTTCATTATTTATTGCTCTTAGTATCTTATTCTTAGCAACACTAGCAAATTTAACTCAGTGCTAGTAGCTAGAAGTACCAATACATACCCTAACCTAAAACTTTGTTTTCTTTTAGTCTGCCATATTCAACTTTCAAAGCTTGCTCACTGTAGTCTTACTATTGATATGCACTTGTACATATCTGAGAGCTATTGTACCAAGTGTAATCGACAGAAGTAAAACTGGGTGAGTTCAGTAGGCTTTATATGAAATGTGTTTAAACTAAAACATAGGTTAATTCATTTCAACGGGTTTTCCCCCACAGACTAGTGTTATAATTAATTGGGCACAATTAGTTATGCTGGCCATCAAAACTTCTATGGAGTGTGGAACTGAATTTTAAAACTTTTTTTGTTATTAATTTTTAGATTGAGAGGCACCAAGAATTTAACCTCCATTTAATAAAATTTAATTTTAATATTGATTATCTTCAAGGCTTTTATTGATATTTTATAATGTACAGTAGGCCTATATCAGAAAACTGTTCTTCAATTCTTGCAAAATCTGGCACCTTAAATTTAGTTTTAATATCTCCAATTTTAAGCCAGCTCTGTGGAAAACTTCCTTACTCGTTGTAGTAATGTATATTTTAAAACATGATTTATTATTTTCAGGTTTTTAGGAACATTTTGGAAGTTTGCAAGAATTGGAGAAAGAAAAAGTCCATATGTTGCTGTTTGTTGTGTTGCAATGGCCTTCAGCATTTTGTTTTTGACATGATTTCAGAAGCTCTTAAAATAGCTACATCTTTATTTTCTTAACAATAAACAACTGCTGTTAAAAATAACAACATGGTCTTAGTTTTTCAGCTTATACGTTCAAAGTAACGAATAATAATATACTTTTTAGATATTTTACAATTCTGGTTTCTAAAAAGAGTAATATAACACTTTACTTCTATCATCTAGTTTTTTCCCCCAATTGTGCCCAAGACATACAGAGGAGATGAAGTAGAGTTTGTTTCTGTGACCTATGCATATAGGGAGATACCTAACAGCTGTAGTTTCTGTAAAAAGAATAACAAACTCATCAGGGCTGGACTGACTCACAATACCAAGTCCTGTTTCCCCCTCCCCTCTATACAGTCTTACAGGCCTCACGGTGTTCCTGTAGAATACTTTTAAAAATGCATCAGCTTTCATCTTAAAGTTACACAAGATTACCTTTGAGCACAACTGACACAAAATCTTGTTTGCTACTCACTAGCATTCATGCTGCTGTTTATAAAATTCGTGTCTTCTTTTTTAAAATCCCGTTTGTGCCCAAGATGAAGTAGAGTTATCTGATTTATTGACCTCGGCATATGAAGGGATAGTGTGGTCAGCACCATAACGTAAGTTAGGTACCCATCAGAGCTGGGTGGACTCAGGGACGTTCCACTGGTTTGAACCCGGATTCAAACTCTACTGCTAGGCCACGCCGTCCCTAAAAAAACTTGTCTAGCATGGAGTTAGTAACATAAATGTTACACTAGTTACAGAGCTTTTTTTTTTGGAATTATTCGAAACCTGAAAAATTATTTTTAAATTTGGTAAAAGAAGGGATTACCAATAGTTAAAAACTTGTCCAATTATTTTTTTATTTGTCATTTTCAAAGACTTGAAAATATCTTTGTGAGATATTTCATTAGCCTACCACGCAATTTTTTGTTTGTTATGTCATGAAAGATAAAATAAAAAATTCGTAAACTCACATTACAATAAAAGAGTAACCAGCCTTAAGCCAGTGTCGCAAAATACGAGTGCATTTTTTAAAAGTATTTGAAACGAATTATAAACTTTGTGTAGATTATAATAAAATGAATCAATGTTGACAACAGAGTTTCTTCCAGGCATCTCTGCCCCCCCCCCCCCCGAAATTTTTTAACCGCCCCCCCAACGAAATGAAGTTTATATAGAAAATATATACTTTTAACAGTGTCCGCCCCCCCCCCCCCCCCCCCCCCGGGAGAAAAAAGTCTGGAAGAAACACTGGTTGACAATGCTTAGTAAATAAATAAGATTTCAAGAAATCGCGTTTTTAAAAAACAAAAACGCACTTTGAAGTGGATAGTAGTATTAGTAGTAGGTTAAGGTATGCAATAGACCGTTTTAAAGATCAAATCGTTTACATTTGTATACATTTCACTACAGAAGCTTCCACAGTTTTATTAGTTTTAAACTTTTTTTTCTTCCGTTCTGTTGTTAGAACACTGTGCCGGAGCATTTTTAACAGCAAGATACAACTATTAGGGCCTATATCAGAGTTGTCTTTATGTGCGATTTTTTTTTTCCCCAACTAAAACCCAATTAACTGATAGGGGGGGGGGGGGGGAATTCAGTTTTAAACTATTTCTATTATCTGATATTATTTAGCGGTCAGTATCACAAATTATGAATTGACGTTTTATTGATTTAGAATTCCGGGGTCTCCAAACTGCGGCCCGCGAGGCCTTCTCAACGTAAAAAAAAAATTAGGAATTGTACGTGTATCCTGCAAAGATCAGCTGTCGCTTACGCGGATATTATGCTTTTACCGAATTAAAAATATAGGCGCATAACAGCAGTAAGATAACTAAGTTGTGTGAAAGTTGTGAGTATTTAAGTAACGAAAGAGAGTAGGTGACTTTCTGGAAAGTAAAGGCAAGCTACAAGTTTTTGCCAAAGGAAGACTTTCCTTATGCCAAAATGTTTGCAGCAAAGCACCTTTCATTTTTTTGGAATAATATACCTGTGTTGTCAAACATTTTCAAGAATGAAATACATGAAGAACAGCTTGAGAACAAATTTGTTCGATGATAATCTCAGGTCACTGTTGATATTAGGGAGATCAAATCTAAAGCCAGAAATCTCTGCTGTTCTGCCATCCAGAAAATAATTTCACCATTCCCACCAATACAATGACATGCTTACATGTTTAGTGTAGCAATGTGTTAGTAAATAATATCTGAATAAAATAATATTAAATAAATAATTAAAAACAACATCCATGTTTTAATTCTTTATTATTTGGACCTCGGTGTGTTTTCGGCACCCGAACTGCTTTTTTATAGTTAGTGCGGCCCCCTCCCCCCCCCCCCTCCAAAAAAAGGGCATTGAGGTAGATTGACGAGGAGCCACATTGGTGTTAACAGCCTTTATTTACAGACAGCCATGATGCAAAGAGAGAGGAAGGAAGTGGCCAGAGAAAACTATTTATAGATAACAACATGTAAGGGACATCACTCAAGATAACAATATAAATATAATACTAATACAGAAGAGTGAGTTCCCTTGACCTCACAATTATCTCAATCTATTACATCCCTTTACCCTTAGAACACAATAACACATCTCTCAATAGAACAATTGATAGTATCCTAAAATCACCAATTATATTGTAACATGAACACTATGGTAGATTACATCCTTACAAACAATGCACAATATGCCACAACATAATCAAGATACAAAACAATGATGTCAAAGTCCTTTTGACCTTTAAAATCATAGGTCTAACTTATTTGGGACTTTGATTGTCCTGTTTGACCTTCTCAGTGGTTTTTGATTTGGTGACTCAAGATTCTGACCATCTGGATTCTCTATCTCAGGAGGTCTAGGATTTAAATCATTAACTCCAGAATTTACATTTTCTGACTCCAGACAACTTGGTTCACTCATATCAACAGAACTTGGTTGTGGAACAAACTGAGTTGGTGTGAACTGTTCAGATTTGGTGGGATTGACAGATTCACACTTATTATCTGCACAAGTTATTTTTAACTTTATAAGACACAGGTCCTGTACATTGAACAATTTGACCTGGTATCCATTTTTCCCTTTCTCCCATAAATTCTTAGATACACATTGTCATTAACACCAAATTCTCTTTCAATGCATGAGTTGTCATGATTTAATGGAACTATTTTTGAATTGGCATCTGAAAGTATTAAATGGCAAAAATCTTTTTTTTCTTTTGATGTTACCCTTTTAGTTTCTGTAAGTGCTAATGATGTTAGCAAAGTTGTTTGATGATCACATTCCTTCTTACTAATGTATTCTCTTTAAAACATTTGAAATTGCCATATCACCATAATCATTTATTAAGTTACAAGTACTTTGTTTAGGCAACTCTGACTGATAATGGACTGCATCTTCTCCATCTTTTATATTATCTTCACAAAGGGTTTTAATTTCTTATTTTATATGGCCTTAAGTCATCATTCACTGACTCTTCAGGCCAACCATTCTTACAGTACTCATATACTTTTATTAAGCACTCATCTTTTTGTGTTTCTCTTTTAATATCATTCACATTTATATTGGAGTTATCCATGATAGTGAAGAGAACAAATACATCTTCTGGTACATAGCTCAGGCTCTGGTTTTTTAAAGGTAATCTACTAAGACTATCTGCACTATTCTCAGATCCAGGTTTGTATTTCAATTCATAATTGTATGCAGTTAGTGTGATAGCCCATCTTTGAATTCTTGGTGAGGCATGCTCAGGTAGGGTTTTGTTTTCTCCAAATAAACCTAGCAATGGTTTATGATCTGTAAAGATGGTGAACTTCCTACCAAACAGAAACTTATGAAATTTCTTAACACCAAAAATGATGCCTAAGCCTTCCCTATCTAACTGAGAATAATTTTTCTCAGCCTGGTTCAAAGATCTACTGGCAAAAGCAATGGGTCTGTCACCCTTCTCATCCATGTGGGACAAGACTGCTCCTACACCATCTGGTGAAGCATCACATGTTAATATAAGTCTTTTCCCTGGGTCATAGTGAGTTAGTAAGGTGTCAGAAGACAAAGCCTCTTTTGCTGTATTAAAAGCAGTATCTTGTTGTTTACCCCAGTGCCAAGTTGCATTTTTCTGTAGCAGCTTGTACAGTGGTGATAGTTTACCAGACAGATTTCCTATGAACTTTGCATAGTAATTTATCAAGCCCAAAAAAGCTCTTAGTTGTTGGGTATTTTCAGGTTTGGGTGCTTCTTTAATGGCTTTTGTTTTCTCAGGTTGAGGTCTGATGCCTTGCTTGCTTAATATATAACCAAGAAAACTAATTTCTGTCAGCATGAATTGACATTTATCTTTGTTTATCTTTAAACCTTTTTCACCAACAATTTTCAATACTTTATCAAGTGTTTTAAGATGTTCAGTGTCATTCTTACCAGTTATGTACACATTGTCAAAGTACACACAAACATTTGGAATATCCTTAAAAATACTGTCCATGACAGCTTGGAAAATTCCAGGGCTAGATGATATGCCAAAACATAGTCTTTCATATTGGTAGAGTCCTTTATGTGTGTTTATTGTCGTATAGACTTTTGAATCTGGATGCAGTTCTAGTTGAGTGTAAGCATGACTAAAGTCTAATTCAGTGAATTTGTCTCCTCCTGCCAAATTCAAAGAAATTTCCTCAATGTTAGGTATAGGGTACCTATTTAGCTCTATTTGCTTATTCAGTGTAGTTTTATAATCTCCACAAATTCTTATAGAACCATCCTTCTTTAACACTGGCACAATGGGCGTTGCCCAATCGGAATAGTCTACCTTCTTTATAATGCCATTAGATTCCAATCTACTTAGCTCATTTTCAATTTTATTCCTCATTGCATAAGGTGGAACTCTAGCTTTGCAGTATCTTGGATTTGTGTCTTTAATGCTTAACTTCACT